TAGATAAGTGGTTGCCAGTGGCCGGGGCTGGGATCAGGGGTGGCGGGGCAGGGTGAAGTTAAGGAAGGTCTTCTGATGGGTATGCAGTTTCTTTTTGGGTGATGAAAATTTTCTGAAATTAGATAGTGGTGATCTTTGTACAACCTTGTGTATATACTAAAAACCACTGAATTGCGCACATTAAAAAGGTGAATTTTGTACTTTGTGAAATAGATCTCAATGAAAAAAAGAAATATATGGACCTTAGACAGACTTGAAGCCTGGTACTGCTGGAAGGTGATACTCTACCTGGTTTATTCTTACCAGAAATATGCCGTAATATAACCTTACGAGTAATGCGCTGAGGTCATTTTGTCTCAGTTACTCACACCTGGTGATCAGGAAGGTACATGTAGCCAGAGCTTCCAGAGCATTCAAGTGATATGGAGTGAGAGTGAAGGTGGGGAGGATACAAAAACCCCATTGAGAACTAATGGAGAATTTTGAGGATCTGGGAAGCTTCTGCTTCTGTCTGGCAGCATACTGCTTTGTCTTTACTTGCGTATCGTCTCCATGAGATTCTATATCCTTGGCTGTAGAAGAAACAATATCCTCAAAAAAAAAAAGTTAGCCTACAAATATCTAATAATCTCTACTCTGTTGACTTAAAAATTTTTCCTCAAAAAATAACATTTTTAAAGGATAAGGAATATATCTAATGGACTTGCACAGTGCCCAAAACATAGTTGTCAGTCACCAAGTGGTTATTGTCAATAAACATTTATTTATGATAGTTTACTAATAGAAGTAAAACCAGTAGATAGGCTCTTGGTTCTCTGGCAGATTGAAGTAGAGCATGTGGGTCTGATTTTCTGTCTGCTACCCTTGGGGCTGGTGACCTTAATTTGAGTGAGCTTGAATTAAGTGAGCCACGTGGCCCTTGCTAATAAGGCCTTGTCCTAGGCTGCTTACCTATATTGTGTTAGTGCATGCTGCCTAAAAGAAATAAATCTCTTTGAAAACTACTATCATATTTAATGCTGGTTTTTGAGGCCTGGGAGTTTCTATAACATTTATTGTTTCAAAAACAGAAATAAAAAGGTTTAGAAAAGTATCTAGAACAAAGCCACCTTAAGGAAATTTGTAACCAGAGAGTTCTTAAATACTACTTGGTATTAAAAAAAAAAAAATACTGTGAATGTTAAACAACTCCCCCTATCCCCATCGATATTATTTTCTCCAAATATCATTGCCATAAGTGTTTATAGAGTTTATATTTTAATGGCTTTATAGTGTACTGCCATTTGTTTGTTTGAGCTACCTTAATTTATTTTATTCTCCTTAATGATTTTGACCACCAAATTGGGGGGAAAAAAAAAATCCAAGTGTATGAAGAGTTTTTTAAAAATATAGTAGAAAACAGATGTCAATTCTTTAAAGTAACCACTTACCCAGTCCCTGAAATAGAATCCTAAAAATACAGTTGGCCTACATTCTGACTTACTTGGGTGTCACTTTGGTCCCTGCCATCATGAACTGTGTAGAGCATTAGGCATTAGTGTGCTAAGAAGAAATGCTTCAACACACTCTTTTCCTACGGGAGCTTGTTAGGTGTTTGTTTTTACCCTATTTGGTGGTAGAAAAGGTGAGTGTGACAGGGAGAACAGAAAATCATGTTTTTTTGTGGGATAAGGATGAGGTCATTCTAACAGTATTGCATAGAAATTTAATTTGCCAGAAATTAAAATTGAAGAGTAAAATAGCATTTAATTGGGTAGTGCTTAAAAGAGTTAAGGTACGTATAACCAATGAGATACTACGTAATTGTAAAAAAAAAAATACTGGTATGTACAGATAAGAAACGAGACAAAAATCCGCTTTGTGAGGAAAGCAAACTACCAGATGTGTTTAGGATATTACTTTTCACGTGAAAAAGAGAAAGAGAAGACCTTATATTTGCATAAAAGAAAACTGGATGAATACAGAAGTAACTAACAAGATGATTTCCCATGAGGAGGGTCTCAGTGGTGGGAAACCTGGTAGATGAGGGACAAAGGTGAGAGAAAACTTATAACTGCTTTGTTTTACATATATATATATATATTAATGCACTACGTATTCCCAAAGTTAAGAGTGCGACATTGCAGAAGATTGTGATTAAAAATGCAGACTCCTTAGTTGTGTGAGACTTTGTTGGAGTTCTCTCTCTGTACCTTAGTTTTCTCATCCATAAAGTTAATTCTTAGAAAGCACTTACAACAATATGTGTCATATAGTCAGCTGATGTAATTAATAGTAGGAATATTAAAGATTAGTAATTCTCAGATTATATCTCAAGTGTCTAATTTTTGTCAGTTTGTAAAGGTATTAGATATACCTGATATTCTCTTTTGTCCCTGTGATACCATGTTTTAACTGAAGTGGCTAATAAATGCAGGTAGAGTTTGAGTTTCTTTGTTTCTCTTGGCCTAGTGATTAAGAGCTTGGCCTCTGAAGTAGACAGAATTGGGTTCAAATTCTCCACTCCCAACTCATCTCAGCACTGTGTTCTTTTTTAGGTACTGTAAGAGTTGCAGAGGTGTTTGCGTTGAATAGGTTGATGGGAAAGACAGTATCTTGTCTCTATTGAAGATGCTATATTCCGAAAGACTAGGGAAGGGAGATCATTCATTCATTCATTTATTCATTCATTTTTGTATTAATGTCTCTGATCTAAATCTGCATTTGTCTGGATCCTGTACATCAGCTGTTTCTAGAACAGACTGGAGAACCGCATTCTGGAGTGGGCCTGTAGGATTCTGCATTTGGTCTGGAACTATCTAAGGCAAGCTACTGATGAAAGCCAAACCCACAGTTTCATTCTAGAATCAGTTAATGATTCTCTGAACTGAGAATGACTAGTCCAGATAACACTCTGAAGTTTGGGCTCATATGGGAGGTGGGAGTCTATAGTCAAAGCTGTTTCTTTGCGTTCTATTCCTCTTTGTCCCATTGATCACCAATTCTGGACAGTGTATGGTTAGTTCAAAGTTGGCCAATGCCAGCAGCTCACCATCTATTTGTAGTGGGGATGACTTGTGAATAATAGCATCTTGTAGCAACATGTACTTCTACCTATCTGTGCTTAGGGACAGGGGTCATCTCAAGGAAATAAGGCACAAAATTGGTTCTCTTAACTTGAAAGGAAAATATATTATGCCATAATTGCCATAGTAGATATGATTATATTCATTTTAGGGGAAATTGAGATACAGTGATAAAAAGCACCTCAGCAGAGCAAATGCAGCTAGTTATTGAGAGACAGATCAGGATTTTGAGCCTGAGGCTCTGGTCTCTCACCTCTCAGACTCAGCATGCTTATTATAGAGTGGCATTTTAATTAGCGGATCCATAGTGTCTGCTTATAATGTTCAAGTTCTTAGTTTTAAATAGTTTAAAATTATGGAGAAGCATTACCTCAGAAAGGCTGTTATTTTGTATATGTTGTTTAAAATAATTTTGAATTTTGAAAGGTTCAAAAATTTGGTATTTGTTCTTGTAACACCTGTACATTCACATTATCCCTGCTATTCAAAATCAATAGAAACTAAGAGGTTTTATAGTCAGACCCTTTTAACAGGATGTTATATTTGGATGTTAATGTGATAGGAGTAGGAACTATGTATTTAATCTAACAGGACATTATTAAGTTCTGTATTTCCACAAATCTATTGACATTTTTGCTCAAGCATTATTTGCTTTCAGTAACTGTTAGTTTATGCCTTTTACCCTCAAGACAAAATTTAAAGATAATTTTAAAATGTGTACCATATTTTTAAAATGACATAAACCAACAACAGAAATACAGTGTCCATCATTTAATTAAGAAGGGTAAGACATATACTTGCCTAAAATTGATAGGTGTTTTCAAAATTTAAATTATAGAGAGAGAGAGAATGGAGGGCCCCGAAATGCCTCAAGGCATTGAAGCAGTGACATGGCCAGGAGCTTTCGCTTTTGACCAGATATGAATCGTGGCTTGCTGCTTTCTAATGGACTTTAGGAAAAGCCTTACTTTTTAAATTGTGTCATCATGGTGTCATCAATGTGCTGGGATGTTATTAATCAAGAGATAGAGTGCGTAAGGAACCCATGCGGCCCCTCTTGCCATGGATAGTGAGTGGGCGAGTATCTCCCTTTTGTTTCAGGCAGGAGGCCTCAGTCAAGACTGCAGACCTTGGTAAAACACTTAGCACCAAGGCCTGTGTAAAACTGCTTTTTAACATGCTTTTGATAATGCCCAGTGAGTGAAGTTTTTGAAAGGAAGGACTTTTTCCTTCTTCATGGGTGTCTTTAGTGTGTCGGAATAGGTGAGAGAGTAATGAATGTTGAACAGAAAAAAATGACAGTTCTACCAATGATTTTTAAAACATAAGTGTGAAAACAGCCCAAAGATTACCACCTCTCCAATAAAATTGGCTAGGAGTTACGTAAAAATTTAAAACCGAAAACAAAGCCCTCTGTTTTGAAATCTATATTTTTACAATTACTTTTAAAGTCTTATCACCCTTATCTACTGATTGCTTTTGGAAATAGATACTGGTAGTGTCCTCACCTCCATTGTTATTTCTTCTGCTTAAATTTGGCATAAAGAAAGTAAAACGAGATATCTCCAACTTCCCACCTGGTTAATTTTTGTTGTTGTTGTTGAGAATGTTGCCATTAAATTCATAATTACTTATTAGCGGTGATTTTAATTGAAAAGAAAATGTCTTCTAAAGTTTTATTTGTTTACTCTTGGCTTTAACTGTGAAAACTGTTATTCAATTTTCTAAAATTAGAGGAGATACAGAATTTATGCATTTCATAGTATAGTTAAAATACATTTTCAAGCCAACAGGCTATAAGTATGTGTATATATTGTTCATGCAAATCAAGTTTACATTTTCTAATGTTATGAAACCAGCTTCGTTAGTTCTCATGATTCTGGCTTTTGTGTTGGAAGGAGAATAGAGGATTAAGGCAGATTAGAGTATTGGAATAATGTCTGATTCCTCTGTTCTCCACGCTCACACATAAAAATTCTCCAAATCTGGATGTTGCTATGGTGATATTAGCAAAAGCTTGAGTTTTCGATTGAGTTCCTGTTAGAGTAATAGACGAATCAGTCATCTTCTGAATCAGTGTGTTATGCCAGTGCTGACATCACTTGGATGTGCGAGGTTCCGGTGATGCAGAATTGCCACTGCTTCTAAAGATTCGACCCAGATAATTAGTGTCTGGGAGGACAGCTGTCTCCTGTACAGTGCTACCGATAGGCATGGATTACACCTGAGAGGCAGGAGAATCTGCTGAAAAGAGTACCACTCAGGGGTTTAATAGAAATGAAAGCAACATTATAGCTACCATTTATTGAATCAATCTTGTGTTCCAGGGACCATGCGAGGGTATGTTATTACATTACCCCCAATACATTTAAATGGAAGTTATTTTCATAATGCTGCTGCCGCTTGCTCTGTGAGTTTATGATCTTAGAGCACTTGGGCTCTCTGGACTGAGATACCCACTACTTCCGAACAGGGATGGTCTCTGGCTGATGTTTGGAAGAAGAGCTCTGAGCTCCGTGAGATTAAAGGCATTATTGTTT